AGATACAAGATATCAATAATTATTTAGCTATTGATAGTATAGAGCTGAGCCTGACAGACTAAGTCTGATGAGATGTGGAAGAGCAGCTGATCATAGAGTGTGCATTGCATTGTGGGACATTAAGGGTGTGTAATGTGTTGTTTAAGTTGTTGACTCGTTCTCACCACTCTGGTGTGGGGTGTATAGCGGTTTGTCGGTCTGGATGAACAGGAAGCCGTTGGAGCGGCTGACAGGAACGGACAGGTGCTGGTTAATCTCTGCTGATTGGACGTGGAGAATCACATGACTCGCTGTTTTATCCAGCTTACCTGGGTGCAGCTATAGAATGAAACAGATATTTGAAATCTCCCCTGAAGATAAAATGTCATTAGTTTTCTGTTTCACTTTGTTTGCTATGTCTGACCCGGATTTTGGCAGCAGCCTGGTGGTTGTTTTGGGCGTTGAGGGTCACGAAGTCTTGAAACAGAACCACATGTTCTGGAGCCATAGAGGTCTTCAAAAACAAGTATAACCTCACCTCCTCTGTGAAACCAAACAACTGCAGCAGCACTGTCTCCACAGCGTCCAGACGCAGTGAGAGAGGAGCTGTGATCAGGTACCTAAGGGAGGGGGAGAGTTGTCTTTACTTCCTGTATAAGGTGTGTTTCATGATCAAACTGGACTAAACCTTAACATGGATCATTCTGAATCTCAGATTAAAGGTGGGCATGTTATCATGATGTCAAGCTTAAGTTAACATATGAACTCCAACAAAGTGTTTGGATTGATTTGTTTCCTTTAAAGAACATTTAAAAAAAGACAATTCTGAACCTCTTAGCAGTGTTGGATGTTAATGTCTGTCAAATATTTCAAATACAATCCAAAAAAAACTATTTCATCAAATTTTTGATGGATGATGATAACATTGGGTTGTTTCTACTGTAATGGCTTAGGCTATTCTTTGACTTTTCATCCAGCACTATCTTAAGGTTAAACATTTTTATTTGTCCAACACTTTGGTTTATCAGAAAATACCTGCAGAGCTAATGAAAGCCTCATCAGAACAAGACTTTGTGATAACTGCTAATTGATTAATTATTACATGCTACTACTGCTTAAGTGAAACCATAAATAAGTCAATGTTACACATGCTGGCGTCAGCATTTACAAGATGAGCATGTTAGCATTATGATCCACTTCGTCACAACAATTATTATTTACAGTCTATGGTCACAATAGCATTCTCCTGTGGACTATAGCTATTTAGAGTGCATCCACAATTTTTGAAAAAAAAAAGGACAATGAAAACCCACACATTGTAATCATAATGGTGAAAAAGTTGAGTGTGGAAAGCTGGACTTGTCTCACCCTATCCATTAAATATTTTATCTGTGTTTAGACCAAAAGAGAAAAATTGTGCACCTCAATTCTCATTTTTGGTTTAATTTACCTTTAATTTGTCTAATTCTTTCAAGTTCAACAAAATACAAGACAATTTGGATGAACTTTCATGCTGCTTTCAGTTTCTTAAGGCTAGTCAGTGCCCTGTTTGATGGCCTGTTAGGATCAGTACCAGGATTTCTCTCATGGACACCAACTACTGTTGTTCTGTTTCAGCTGAGAATTTAAATGTATCTACCTATCCATACAGTGCCACAGCTTAAAACAGGTCTTTTAGCCTGACTCAAACAGATATTTGTGCAGTTTAATTTACACGTTCAAGTATAAAGAATGCTGAATAAACTACAGACACGCATAGGCCAACTTGTTTTTTTAATGGAGTTTGGAGCCTTTGATGTAAATGCAGGGCGTCATGAAAATCTGAAATTGATAGACTTTTATAATGCATATCCATGAAACATTTCTGACTAGAGATAAAACATTTCAGCAAATTAAAATACAATAATTACTTTGAACTCATGTTTTGTTAAATTGCTAGTGCCCTGTGACTAAAACATAATTCACAACCGTCTGCTGCTTTGGCCAAAACAGAACTTAACAACTGCTGCATTTACTTTAAAGTTGTTTTGTCACTTATTCACAAAAGTAAAAGAAAAGGAAGAAATAATCTTGACTTACGATCTGGGGTCGGCCTGTATCCTCAAACAAAGAGAAAACACACACATAAGTAGGACAAACACCTTCATCTTGTACGGAGAAATGCGCACACAAGCGCTGAAAACCCACAACTGGCTGAAAGAACTGACTGCCAGTAACAGAGAGTTATACTTTAATCTTTATTGATCAACTCAACTATATGCAATACATGCTAGTCATCTGACATAGGAAAGAGTGGGAATTTTCACTTTTTGTGTGTGTGTGTGTGTGTGTGTGTGTGTGTGTGTGTGTGTGTGTGTGTGCGTGTGTGCGTGTGTGTGTGTGTGTGTGTGTGTCCCAAAGGTTAATTTACTCAGCCTGTGTTTTCTGATCTTACCTAACAGTGTGGACTCTGAGGTCTCCTGTTATCAGCTCATCAGTCAGTCATCACAACAGAAAGTTCACATTTGGTGGCTTTGCTGTTTTCTTTGCACTTTGCAAAACAAACAAATGTAAAAAATGAACCATAAAAATGTCATATAGGAATCGTCACAGTCAGTACAGAAAAATGCCCACAGGCTGAAGTGACCCTCAGAGGCAAGAACTCCATCAATCAACATCCAGATGAATTATCACATAATATTGCAGTGGCTCTGAGCAGCAGTGAAGCTACAAATCTAAACTTGTCCTGAAGAACAAACATGAGGATAGATTTAGAAGTCCATAGAAGATATGGAGACACCAGGAAGAGTAGCTTCTGTTTAATACAGAAGCTAATGGGGATCTTAATAAACAAACTAACTGTACACTTTGAAACATAAACTTTTGTTAGCCATGGAATAAGACAAATGTGCAAGCTTGTGATCTTTTGTACTAACAAATGCATGTTTCCCCTGTCTTAGACAGTTTCATGCACGTTTGACACATTTTTAAACAACCAAAGTGACTGCCACTGATGGGAAACGTTCTGGATTTGCTATTCTTGCAGTAAAAAATAAGGCCAGTATAATCTTCTTTTTTTTTTTGTATTTTGAGCTTAAAAACAGAAGTAGGCCTATGAGTTTAAAAAAGGGAATACTGAGTTAAAAGTAAGAATCAGTAAGAATTATGAGCTTGAAATCTGAATCTGATTTAAAACCCTCAGTTTAAAGTCAGTAGATATCTAAGAATAAAAGTTAATAATTTGTGATTAAAGTAAAAATTCTGAGAAAAAAATGTAAGCAGTGGGAGGATAAAGTTATACGCTGTCAATTAAAGCTATGTAATGTTATTTCATTAAATTTGAGTTACAATAACACATTTTGATCATTGCATTGATATTTGTCTGTCAGCACAGTCTATGGTCAGCACCCTCCTCCTTTGTATTTCGTTTTTTAAAACTTATCAGATCTGAGTCAAACAAATAATCAAGGTAAGCTTGCACATTACAGGTCAACCACTCTGTGAGGGAAATGTTTTGGTTGCTTAGCAACAGTCCAATATTAAGCTACCTTCATCAGCTCATGTTTTTTTTTGCATTGGAATATTAATGTTGCTTACGGCAGCTTTAAGTCAGATTTTGGGTATTAAAGGTAAAAACAAATTCAGAATACCGACAATAAATAGAACTCTGAATTTGCACACATTTTCAGAATGAAGTGAAACATCTGTGAATTCATGAATGTCAGCAAGACATCAGCAGAAGTTATAGACATACTTTATTAAGAGTACTTAAGGCTCAAATACAATGTACTTTATTGAAGTGAACATAGCAAACTTCATATACTGATACACGAGTCATATAAGACCTTGTACATATACTTATACAGAGATAAAGTGACAGTTGAATTATATTCTGGGCAGTAGGCATATTTTATGTTTATATTCACATTCTTCTCTTTGACAGTTTGGAGCTTATTTACATAAAGGCTGACAGACATCTGTCAGCTAAAGGGACGCATCCATTCTTCACATCTACTCTCATAACTTTGATAATTTAGCAATATTTTAAACAAAAATCAGTGAAAACATTTACAAAAATTAGAAATGTTGATTCTGATGAAACAGGTGTCAACATAACCTGCCCAAGACCCAATTTGGGTCTCAACTTATAGCTGAAGCACAACAGACATTAATAATATAATAATAATTATAATAACAATTTAATATCTTGAATATCAGGCTCTGCCTTTTTAATAAGTAATGATCTTCTTTGCAGAAATCCTGTGTGTTTTCATCATTTTTACTGATTGGTCAGTAAAGCGTAAAGTTAGCATGCAGCTAACAGCAAATATTATTTCCAGACCTTTGTACCATGCAATTGTATGCTCATGCTCCAGATGCTAATGATACTATAAGTGAATGGTATGGATGGAAATGCTACTGTACAAGCATACTATGAATCAGAAACAGGAAGTATTATTTCAGTTTTAGCAAGGAACCTGCTCACCCAGCATCATAAAGGCTAACCTGTTAGCATAATGGAATAATAAGGGTTATTAATAAGGGTTATTCTTGTAGGATGAAGCACTAAAACCTCAGGGGTTTCCTCTGTCGTGGCCTTAGTGCCATGACTGTAGCATCTCCCAGTGTGCAACACACACATTACAACCTTTTACAGCGAGCCATCTGCATGCAAACCAACGCACAACACCATCATTTTTCAAAGACACTTGACTTATGTGAAATAATAGGATAGAGTCACACACTAACACTGTCCCACCTTTCAACTGATCTATGAAAATGATGTTCCAGTGTTTTTTGTCTAATACATTTGTGAGTGCGTGCATAAAATATTAAAGCGCAGTCATCTGACAACCAGTGTTATTAGCAGACAATTCAGCATCTTCCTCCATAATGGAAGTTGCTGTTCCTGTTTACAAAAAGTGTCTGTCTGCTTTCCTGTCTGTTTTTTAATGTTTGTCTTTCTGTGTGTGTGTGTGCGTGTGTGTGTGTGTGTGTGTGTGTGTGTGTGTGTGTGTGTGTGTGTGTGTGTGTGCGTGTGCGTGTGCGTGTGCGTGTGCGTGTGCGTGTGCGTGAGTGTGTTTTTTTTGTCTGTGGGTTTGATCTTTCTCACAGCACCATGGTTGGAATATGGTGAACCAGTGACGCAGGGTGAGGCATGGCTGTCAGCTGTGGTGGGTGAGGAGGAGAGTGGGCCGAGTGGACAACCACGCTCCCTCCTGCAGCCCCTCCATCTCCAGTGGGCCGATGCCGGGCGCTCTTTTGGTGCGCCCTCAGCCCGGCCAGCTGTGAGTACGCCGACTGGCAGACGTGGCACTTGTAAGGACGCTCCCCGGTGTGCAACCTCACATGGTTCCTCAGTGTGGACGACTGGCTGAAGCGCCGGTTGCAGAAGCGGCAGACGAAAGGTTTGTCCAGCGTGTGGATGCGCATGTGAGAGCGCAGATTGCTGCGGGAGTTGAATCCGCGGTGGCAGATCACACAGCGCATACGACCCAAACTAGTGGAGGACGAAGAGGAGGACAAGGAGGAGGAGGAGGAGGAGGAGGAGGTAGAAGAGGAGCCTTCACAGGTATGGAACTCATCTGGGAGGAGGAAGAGGAGAAACGTGTTAGACTGTTTGTACAAAGTTTGATCCTTTCTTATTGAAGGACTATGGAAGAAAAATAGGAGAAAAACTTAGGCTTAGAATTTACTTGTTCTTTAAATAAAGAGATTTGAATTTTTGGACCTGCAAATAAAGTTATACATCTGTTATTTTATTTAGGATCGGCCCTAAAGTCACAATAATGACCTTGACATTTTCTTTTAATAATATTAGTTTTATTGCTTTTGCAAAATGTAGATTTCCAAATTTAATATTAGAAGTCAGAGTTTACATTTTCATTCGATTTTTTTATTTACCGTCTTCAAAAAAAGACAACACTTTTCAAGGACAACATTTTGAGTAAGGATTGTCTTATTCAAAACTCAAACTCTTAACTGTTTTTAACTGAGTTTTCACTCTCTTCTTTTACATACAGTCACAGTTCCAAAGGTAAAAAAAAAATTATAACGTGAATCTGAAATTTCTATCATTTGGTTTTCTTATTTTATATATTTTAATTTCTAAATTCTTTCATTTAAAAAATAACTGTAGTATTTAATTCTGAGCCCTTGACTTCTTCTGTAAGGGGCAAATCTGATGACATACCTTACTTTTTTGTAAGAAATTACAATTCTCCACTCTACTATCCTCCTCTGTTTTGTTTTGTTGCTATCCTTTGTTAAGCGCCTTTGAGTACTTAGAAAGTTCATAGAAGTTGCATGCATTATTATTATTATTATTATTATTATTATTATTATTAATTCTGCATCAATAATGAATATTATTTACCACTCTTGGTCTTCTTGCTTTGTTCTTCATCTCCTCCTGGAATTCCAGGGATTCCCAGAAAGGTGTTGTGGGAGTTTCCGTACCAGACCAGCAGCTCCTGATCCGGAGGGATCGTCTGAGGAGAACAAAAAGAGGTGAGTCATCTGTCACCGGGAAATATGCTTTTTTTTTTTCTTTTTTTTTTTAATAAATCAACAATTAAAAAACAACAACTTTAGAAATATGTATCTGGGAGATTGAACTCTCTGCTTAAACACTTCAACAAGTAATTTGTGTTTCAGTTGATCGGTTAAGAGATAGAGGAGGACTGGAACAGGTTTTTTAAATCTCTGATCTTTGAGCCAGCAGAGGGCGGCACACACCTGAACTTTTCTTCAATTTTGACTGCTGGAGCACTCATTTGTTTTACTCAAAAATTGTTTCATTCTATTTGGTTCCTCTAGTTTTCTGACGGCACTTTTCAAAACAAGAAGTTTCAGCTCGACATTGTTAAAACCAGGAAGTTACTGGTAAGGTAATCTCATACATGCTGTGTCTGCATACAGAAATGATGCATTTACTGACCTCCACAGCCTTGTAAAAGATGCTGCTGCCAATCTGAACCACCTCCAGGTTCTGCTCCTGCTCGTTCCTCGCACACTTTATGTACGTCATCCAGCTCCTCTGATCCTCCTGACTCGCATCGATGAAATACCGAACCGTGCCATCCTCGTTAAACACCTGAGGGGGGGAGGGGGGGAGGACAAATCACGTCATACATCATATCAAGTTTAAAATACACAGTCCACTGGTTGATGGGAGGTTATTTATCAGGCAATCACATTAAAAAAACAAACAACAACAAAACCAGTGAGCGACTTTGTATCAGATGGTAGTCACTAATAGATCAAGTTAAAGGGTCAGTCATAAGTTATTAAGTTTTTGTTGTTGTTTGAAAGTCAATCACTCAGCCAGTTAAAAAAACAGCCATCAATTTTGTTGTTGGATCTGTTAATAAACAAGAAGATAGCTAGAAGCTGTAAGTTAAGGTATACGCTAGTGATGGCCTAAATGTCTGCAATATAAACGTAGTGAATGTAAATCACAGGAAACTCTGCTTACCTCCCACATAAGGTTGTTGTTCTTATAAAGGTCGATGTGTTCAGGGGAGATCAGTCGTCCGGTGAATGGTCCCATCTCTGTTCCTGCTTTAATCCATGTTTTAGAGAAAATTCCCAAACCTTCACCTAACAAAGACACAAAATACTGTTACTTCAGAGGTATCATCACATCCATGCTGATTAATTATTAAACTCAAACAGCACCAGAGCTCATTCATACAATACACTTAGCTGACATAACACATAAAATAAGAGCAAATATTTAAGCCTATGAGAGGCTATGACATGAAGTCACATCTGTTTTTCTTTTCTTTCATTCTTTGTCCTTCAGTTTGTTCTCAGCTTGGAAGACTGTATCTTAATTGGGACAAGTAGCCTAGATCAGCGCATATGAAAATATTTAAAATGTAAAATCCTTAATGTTAAGGCTTAGTGTTGAATAAAACTTTTTGGCTGTGTGCATATAATCTGGTTGAACTGTTTGAATTTGCTCAGTAATGAAGACATAGACAGCAATGTAAGAAACAAACACACATTTAAAACACATGCAGGAAAAGAAACAAGGACACGTTACCTGGGACTGAACTCTGAGCGATGATCACCTCACTGGGCAAAACCAGACTGGACAACTTCTGCACCTCTAAACACAAAATACATTTATTAAAGTTCACTTTTGGAGGACTATTAGTTTTTTCTTTTTAAAATGAAATGTAAGGACTGAAAGCAGGAGACAATAAAAAATGACCTTATTGAATTCAATTTGAATAACAATGAAATCTAAAACGGGCGGATTACAGCCCTGAGTTTTATAAGAAAATAACGTGATGATCAGGAAGCTGCAATATTGCAGTTTCACATAAACAGTGAAATCAGCAGGAAAATGATCAGAAATGCAGCATTGACAAAGACATATTAATGAGGTTAAATGCTAATTTTTTCCACTCGAATAGAGGCATTATGTCTGCACAAGTCCCCTGCTGTCCGATGAGCCAAAGACCAGAAATCTTCATTCATAATGGTTTTAATGAACCAGAAAGTTTAAACTAAGAAAGACTTTACTCAAAGAAATCTCCCAGTTTGAACATTGACAATCAAAGAAAGGTCCAAACTCCGGACTGGATAAGTAAATCAGAAAAGAATGCAATAAAAATGTATAATAAAAGACAAAGTGAGAGATGTCAGAAGGTGTTTCACGCTCACGATGAAGCGTGAAACAGCTCGTGACATTTAGGAGAACAGAGATTTCAATAGAGATGAGAGTGCTGCAAGTTGATCCGCATTAAAAAGTAGAGAACAAGAAAAGAAAAAAACTCATAAATGCCATCGGGAGTGAAGAAATGTGCAGCGGATTGTGTTCACGCGACGCAGAAAACCGGATTTCAATTCCTGCAGAAATAATCCGTTTAAAATGAAGCGGGAGGATCAGACGAGCAGCGGGTTCGAGCTCTCACGGACCTTTTGAAATTGTTCCGAACGAATTTTAGCAAAAACGGAAACGAATTTCACATTAAAACGTGGAAAAAAGCCAAAATAACTTTTCAAACGGGGGTTAAACTCCGCGCGACTTGGAGCTCCGGACAGAAAATGCGTAAATCATTTATTATCATCAGCGACAGTTCAGAAATGTCATAGAAACCAAAACCAGGTTGTATTAAACTATAAATGGTTTAAAATAAATGTAATGATTGTGTGGAGATTTGCAGGCGCGCATGATCATCTGATTTCACGGCGTTGAAAGAGTTTGATCAGTTGTGGTTAAGGGTGATTGTCAGCCTAAATACTGAGCAATGGGCAACTTAAATCAACTTTGCTTGTGAACTTACTGCACATTAAACATTATTAAACACATTTTTAAGCTCTCAAGCTTCTGGTTGACTATACACATAGCCTAGATCCAAAATAAATTGATGAGTCACTATAACGAAATTAAAGGCTCTTAATAAACTTAATAACTTTATGTGTGAATTTAAAGGTTTTTGGTTCAATTTGACTTCAACATGAATATGTCCAACATTATCTTCAATCAAAATATCAAAAAAGATCCGCATCAAAAGCAAATGCGTGATACAAAAAGCCATATGACAGCCTATAACCGTGTCTTTAAATGTATGTATAATTGAGAGTTCAAGATTAGGCGGTTAGATTTTTGCGGTTCTTTCATGATTAGAAAACACAGACTTTCATCTGATATGTGATTAAGGAAAGAAATGTAGGCTGTATATAAATATAAATATGCAATTTAAAATTAAACAAGACATTGATCCTCGCAGGAGAGATAATGGTTATTATATGATTGAAGGATGAGATAATTGGTAACTCTTAATTGAGTTGCTTCACTCACCTCCGGAGAAGGACTGCGCGAGCACCTCAGCGGTAAACGCGGTCTTGGGGCTCGCGCTCGGGGCGGTGCGGTCCTCGAGCTGCAGGTGATGCTGGTGGGGCGCGTGGTGGTGATGCTGCTCGCCTAGCACGTGCCTCCAGCGGCCGTACAGGAAGCTGTGCAAGATGTCCGAGGTGATGATTTCCGCCAGAGAGAGCGGCTGCTGCTGCGGCTTGAAGCCCGGCTTCAGGCCCAGAGAGGAGCCGGGCAGAACGGAGCCCATGGCGGGGACCAGAGGAAGGAGAACCGAAGCAAGGGAGGAGCTGGGCCACCAGGAGAACTAAAGTTTAAAAGTCCTAAAATAGGGATAATCTCAATAAAATCTCCACTTTTTCTTTTGAATTTAAAAATGAAACAATCCAAGGTGGCTGCAAGTTGTTTGTGTTTTTCTATTGTTAAAATAAACCAAGAAAATAATAAAGTGCTAACAGAAGTTCTGAGGAGCTGAAATAAAGCTTACAGAGAGGGTGAGGGTCTTTATAGACTCTGTAATCACCTCCTCCTACATCTCTATAAAGAGAGGAGGAGCAGTGTGTGAATGTATGTGCGTGCATGTGTGTGTGTGTCTGCGCTGCACGCGCTTTTGCTCCGTTTAGCTCAGGCTCGTGACACCATAGAGACACTCAATTAGGACTTAATAAGAAAACAAAAACAGACCGCAGACCAGCAGACATGTAGACCCGGTCGCGGTTCATAATGTTTGGATTTTCTCTGAAGCAAAAACGAAGAAGAAGCAGAAACATAATCAGTAAGATGGTTCAAGAATGTTTGTAAGCAAGAAGTTCCAATGTGAGGTCAGAATCTTTACATTCAAAAAGGAGTAGAAAGACCAACATGTAGAAGTCTAGAGTAGGTACAAAAGTATTGTAATTTAAGAATTAAGCATTTCAAAACTTAGAGTTGTGATTATTCAGAATATACGTTAGTATACTACTTTGAATAATCTACAAAGTATATCCAAAATTATCAGAAAATGACAAAGTAGGCTATAAGATACCAGTAAATAAGACAGAATGCAATTATTGGGTTAAAGCTCCTGTTATGAGGTTTTTGCTGGTTATGAAAGAGACTGAAATAAATATCAATGCATATTTATAACCAACAAAAGCCATAGAAACAACCAGTGATAAAATTCATTATTTCTATGTTATTTTATTTGCTGGTCACATCTGCCACACAGTGGGTTTCAGAGGAGGTGAGCAGCACCCTGCCAAAAAAAACAAAACATTTTACAATTTGTACATGCCAGAGATTTATTTTGTGTTCATGTAAGATATTTAAAATAAAGACGGATGAGTTTTTAGTCAGAAAACACAACTCACGCATTTAGAAAACGATGAGCAAAGAGAAGACATTTAAACTTTGTTCACGGGATGCCAAAAGCAACACTATCTGAAACTTCAGCATAGGAGCTTTAAAGTAGTCTTGCTCTGATCCCCAGTAATTTCAGTAGACACATCAACATCTATATTATTTTACTGCAACTTTAAATGTTTTCTGCAGTAAAAAGAAGAGAAAACAGCATATTTCACCTATACATCAAATAAGACAGTTAGAGGTTACAGTGACTGCAAGTTGTTTGTTTTAATAGGCCTAAATATGCTACCATAGACATAAGAGGATGAAATTAATTACTAATAATTTGCATAAAGAGGGACGATGGGTAGTTAAGTGAGAGGATAAACTAGACAAAACAAAGAAGAGCTCAACTCAAACTAATATTATAAAGGAAATATCTTGTTTTTTTAATGTTTTATCAAAAGTACAATGTCCATAATAACTATTGGTCTCTCCTTATACTGACTTCACACAGAGCTCTTTCATGTAGATGATTCAAATATCTCATTACCTCAGCAGAAGCAGAGTCTCTGTGAGGAATCTTTCTGACAGGTATGGTCTGTCTCAGGTGTTTCTGAACTGAGCCTGCTGCTTCTGATTGGAAAGGGAGGAGCAGAAGAGGGGTTCTGTGTTTTGGTGACTTTAAGCTGCAGAGGATGGGACATCCTGCCAAAACACAAAGAGTTCAGTTAGGTGTGCATTAGGTGCAGCAGGTTCCCCATCCTGTGTGAAACATGTTCAGTGTTGATTAAACCAGTTCATGCTCCTACGATGGTTCCAGATCCAAAACTGTGAAGCTTTACTTTAAGCAACATGAACGCTACATTGTTAAAATGATGGATTTTTTATGCAGAAAAAATGTTACAAAAAAAACAAACAAACACAAAGATACTAAAGCTATGAGACAGACGAAGCAGAGTAAAAAGTTGAATTCAAGTCAGAGATTTAAGGAGTAGAATATTACAAAAATACTTACACTATTGAGGCAATGTTGAAATATTCACAAACATTGTTGCTACTGAGTCAAAACAACCACTCAAAGTGTGAGAGGAAATTCAATACACCACTTGTCACGTTGCCGCATTTGACTAAGTAACATTTTGAATGAAAGCTAATGTCTCTATGGCAAGAAAGATTCTGATTAATAAAATACAGTTGTGTGTTCTGAATATTTCGACACAAAGCTTGTGAACACACAAGCCGGAAAACAACATCTCAACGGGGGAAAAGGACCTTCAGAGAAGCCTGCGAACGCAGCATGAGTCTTTCATTGGTCTCAAACATGTCTAGTGTTGAATAACTACATTCACCCAAGGAAGGAATATGAACACAATTCAAGATATTTTTGCTTTGATTGAATATTTGTTTTAAATGCAATATTCAACTTCTCCTCCAGCAGATCGTCTGACTGTTTTTTTAGACTACAGTTCTCACCTGATTGCAGTCTAAAAAGCATGCACCTCCAAGTATGATGATTTGAAATGTTTGTCATCTGTTAAAGGTTTTTTTTAAATATATATTTAGAGAAAATTCTTCAACTTAAACAAAAAAAGCCCATTTAACCCAAATTAAATGTAACATTATAAAGCAACACATCAGATGATGATCTTAGAGATCATTGCTATAAATTAAAGTTTAAAGCGTATAAAAATGTTGCATCCTTCAACATCTCTAGCAGTAAAAATTAAACCTAAACATAAATATAGCTGTATGAAAATCCAAACACATCAACCACACATCATAACACACGGACAGGTCCACTTCACTGCTATGTAAATGCTTGGAATGTCAAACTGCTAATGCTTGAGTATCTACTTAAGTTACTGCAGGACTTTAACTTGTATTAGATAACTTTTAGTATCAGTTCTTAAACTGCAGTATAGCAGAGATCTTTTTTAACAATATTTAAAAGGGTTAAAAGTCGATTCTGCAGCGGTGGAATGTGAGCTGAGGGGCGCAGGAGGAGAAGGAGAAGGGGAGGAGGAGTGCAGCAGTGTGAGTGACAGAGCAGGAAAACAGATTAGAGGAGAGATTACCAAGACAACAGCTGCTTTCTTCATCCCTCTATTCACCCTCCTCCTCGGCCTTCTCCTATCATCGTCTCTCCACACGATCATTATTCTCTTCTTCACTCTGATCTGTATTTATGAGCTTTTAAACATTTATTGTTGACACTCATGAGCGCGAGACACACACACACACACACACACACACACACACACACACACACACACACACACACACACACACACACACACACACACACACACGAAGTCCTATTGTCATCAGTCTGTCAGTTGAAAAACCAGATTGAATTTAATTTGATTTTAAATGGAGAATGTAAATGTGACCGAAAGGAGACTGCAACACTTAAAAGAGAATTATTTAAAGAAAAGGCAGATATTATTTAATGATGGCATCTGAATTCAGCTTTTACTGACTGTATAAACATAGCCTTTATATCACGTGAATGCTTACACTCTCGTTTACACATTCTCTGTCTTTTTCAGATACTTGTTTGCTTGTGCACTTGGTGCTTCCTTGTGTATTTTCTGATATGATAATATACTGATATCAGTCCTCTGGGGAATGCTATTTGAGATATTAAAACTGACATTGGTAGAAAATTGTTGGACATGACTGAATCACTCCTGGTATTAGGCATAATATAACACTGACAATAATAACACATTAGGCATGTGTGGTTATTTTCAGTGTTATATTTATCATGACTCTGTAATGTTAAACGCTAATCTTTATTTTCTAAACTAAACTTGTTTCTGTTTAAACTTGTATTCTTAGTTTGCATGCTTCTGATGTTATAGGTTGAGCAGATCCAAACTAATTCTACCTGTTGATGTTTGACTGAAGGACAAACATTCAGACTTTCATCTGCAGTGAACCTTTCAGCTGTAGAGAAATCATTAATTGCATTTAACTTCTACAGCAGAATGATTACATTGAAATGCATGTGAAAGTGTGTTTCAGTGTTTTAATCTTTTTTATTTATTGTCTCAGATTTTCTACCTTTTTCTCATTTAGTTTATATTATACTGAGTAAATAGAATAGCCTACATCAATGTTCATAGTAAACATAAAAAGTAAAGTATAAACAGATATAGGCTATTATATTGTAGTATTTAGAAGACAATGTATTCACTTTTGCCATATTTCATGTAAATCCTGATTAATTTAATACGTTTAATTTTCTTCTGCGAGCTTTCCTCGCTTCTTCGAAACTTCGGGCGGTTCGCCGTTTGTTTTTGCCGGCTTTCCGCTCTTTTCCCCGGGGCTTCCACCCCGGCTCTTCCCCGTGAGGCTCCCCGGAGCTCCGTGCGTAACGGCTCCGTGCCAAACACGGAGGCTGCGCGCTTTTGTCCCGAGAGACAGGGGAGAAGAAAAGGAGAGAAAATCCTAGAATAATGGCAGATTTGCAAATGTTTTTCAATTGATTTGACTCAATGAACGCTGGATTTTCTTTTTCTTTTCTGTCTCTTTCTTTCTTTTGGAGGAGCGGAGGAGAGTTTGGCTGAAGCCGCTACGCACGCGGGCCGAGCGGGAGTTTATTAATGGAGAGTCGCGTCTTTATTGAAGGAGGACACGCTTTAATGAGCTTTTTACAACAAAAAGCTCTTCAGTGAGTGTGTCCCGGTGTCCTCTCCGCCTTTATACTCGCTCCATACGGCCAATAAGAAACCACTTTAGCCCCGAAAAGACGACGGGAAGTCAGGAGGCGGAGGGAGCGGCAGGTGACTGGCACGCGTAAATACAAGAGGACAACAGGAGAGAGGAGGACACAGACAGAAAGAAAGGAGGAGAGGGAGAGTCCTGCGGGTAAGCTGAGGATGGAGGGAGGTGAAAGGAGAAGAAAAGAAATAAGGAGGAGGAGGAGGTGGTGGGAATGAGCCCAAATGGCGCACTAATATTG